ATTTAGATTTCTTTCAACTTGGAATCCTTTACGTTTATAATGCTTTTGGAGGGGAATAACACCTTGCCGTATATTTTACTATAAGTATCTTCTCAATCTTGGCTACCTCTAAATCAGGGGCGGGCAAAGTCTGGCCTGTAGGCCAGATTCGGTCAGCAACGGATTCCATTTTCCAGGCGCCCCTGCGCGTGTCTGGGGCTGGTCTCCATGAAGCCCCCAGCCGCAGCTGTACATGAAAGCTCAAGGCTGGGGCTGCCGTGGAGACCAGCCCCAGCCACGCTGGCAGGAAATATGGCAGGGCAGGGCAGGGCCCTGCTCTGCAGCCGCTGGGATCTTGCGGCAGGAAAAGCTTGCTCCAGGGCAAGGGCAGAGCCATGATCTACAGCCTGCATAGTCCAGGCAGGGGCGCACAGGCAGGGGATCGCAGCTCTGCCCCTGCTCCAGACCAGACTGTCACCACTGCAAGGAGCTGGTGAAGCTGTGTTTTGTAGCCTGCACACTCCAGGCAGGGACGCACAGGCAGTAGACTGCTGTCACTGCTGCCGCAATGGTCCTCCATGAGCGGGACAAGCTCCCTGAAGCAGGCGCTCCGGGGCATCGTGTCTGACCTTAGGGGGACGAAGGCGTTCAGGGGGCTCGGGCCGCCCCGCTTCCTCCTGAGAGGGCAAGTGGCAGTAGGCCCGAGGGACCCCGGGTTGCCTGCGAGACACCCCAGCTGTGCCCGGCGGTGGCAGGGACCGGACGGCCAGCGCCACCGGCCCCACGCGCACCGCACGGGCGATTGACCTTCAAGCGACGCTCAGACAGGCGTAGCCCCGGGAGGAACCCGGGGCTGCAAGTGCGTTCGACGTGTCGATGATCAATGTGTCCTGCAATTCACATTAATTCTCACAGCTAGCTGCGTTCTTCATTGACGCACAAGCGAGTGATCCACCGCTAAGAGTTGTCACTTTTTTTGCACAGGCTTTTTTCCATGGTTGCCACCTCGCCCCGTGGCAGAAGCCATACCAGAGGGAGGGCAGGCTCCTGGGTCTGCGCGAAGTCGGGACGGGGTCCCCGAGCCGGCCTTCCTCCCCTGCCACAGCAACCCGGCAGGGGTCGTAGGAAAGGAGGCACTCCTGCCCAGCCGGGGGCCCTGACTTCCCTTGGCGATGAACACAGAAGAGAGGTTTAACCCGTGGGAGGGCCATGGCCGCAAAGGAGAGCCCTCTGCTGTGGGGTTGGTCCAGGCACTTGGCTCAGGGGGGCACGGCTGGGTGTGCCGCGGCTCCGGTGGCTCTGCAGTGCTCCCACACCTGGGACTGTGTGCCTCTTCCGCTCCCCTTGGCGGCACCTCGCCCCGCCCAGGGGTGCGGTGGGGGTGAGGGAGTCACAGCCCACGGGCAATGGCCTTTCGGGCCCCTCTGTGGAGAGGGAGGCAGGGTGACCCCTCTTCATCCAGGGGGCCATGCGGGCAGGGAGCACCGAGGGCACGGGCACGTCCACACATGCCCTCCCTCCCTTGGCAGACCTCCCATGGCTGCCCGCGCGGACCCCTTGGGATGCCCGAGTCTTTGAACCTTTGGCCACCCACCCGCCGCCCGCCTGCCCCACAGAGCGGGGCGAGGCGAGGGGACAGAGCGCTAGGTATCTGGTAACCTGGGGGTGAGGGAAATGGTTCCGAACTCCAGGTGGTCCCAACCCCCACTTCCGGACGCTGCCTTGCCCCCCGCGGACAGGAGAGCGAGGGACAGGCGCCGGAGGGGGATGTGGAGCTGAGCCCTGCACCCTCCAGCCGGCTCCGCGAACCCACGAGGGGGGAGAAGCATCTGCTAAGGGCCCTCTCTGACATGACTGCAGTTGCCACATCCATCGGTAGAGAGGAAAAGAAAAGTTGTGGGGAGAGGTAACCACCTTGCCTGAACACCGGCAGGGGTTCTGCCGGCCCACAAAAGGCCCTACCCCAAAGAGGGTTTGCCACATCGATCAGAGAAAGGAGTGCAGGAGCGGCGTCTGGGGCACAGCCTGGGCCCATGGCCCGAGGGGGTCGGGCCAGGCGGGAGAACCGGACTCGGACCGGGAGCTCACGCGCCAAAGTGTTTGCCATCCCCCTCTCGGCAGAGGGGCACACAACTGGGGTTTGGCCCTTGGGTGCAGCACGACTCTGCCCCGGAGGCTTCTCTGACAGCCCTTCCGGAACCAAATATGGGCATTTAGGGTCCTGAAAACCGTGTTCCTGAAAATCTTCGTGAACATTTCCTAAGAGTTTTGTGAATGTGGCACCCGGCCCCACCACCGGGGTGAGTCACCAAAAGCATCCGCCTGCCTGGATCGAACGGTCAGGCAATGCACTCACAGTGACCCCTTATGGACTTCCGGGCCACGCCGGGGGGCCCAGATCAACTGCTTGCAACACAGGAGAGTGGGCCAGGTGAAATTTTTCAAAGTCCCACAGCAGACACCAGGTAAACCCGGTTCTCCTGCAGGAGAACCCCGCCACTCCCACAGAAGCCCCTGGCCACCCCGGCCCTCTGGCGGGTCACCAGGACGAAGCCGGAACTGCAGCCGGGCTCCAGGAACTCTCGCCCGGCCAGGCCCTTCGGATCGGTCCCCTTCCGGACCTCCGGGTTGACATGGCCTTGTGGAGGGCTGCCCGGGTCCCTGCCGCCCAGGCCCGGGTCAACCACTCCTCAAAGGGGTTGCTAGGCTCCGACCCCAGGGCCCCGCATACCTGCTGGGACCCTTCGAGATAGCCCCGGCCCTCGGGCAGGTCACCGGGGCAAAGCTGGAATTGTGGCTGGGCTCCTGAAACTCTCGCCCGGCATGGCCTGCCGGATAGGTTCCTTTCTGGACCTCCAGGTTGACATGGCCTCGTAGAGGCTGCCTGGGCCCTGGCTGCCTGAGCCCATGTCAGCCGCCCCTCAGAGGGGTCACTGGACGCTGACCCCAGGGCCCCGCGTTCCTGCCGGGACCCTTCGAGATGGCCCCGGCCTGCCTGGCCCTCCACTCCTTGCAGCAGTGACAGCCTGGTCTGGAGCAGAGGCAGAGCCACAATCCCCTGCTTGCACACCCCTGCCTGGAGCATGTAGGCTGCAGATCACGGCTCTTCCCTGGCTCTGAAGCAAGCTGCCCCCATTGCAAGATCCCAGCAGCTCCAGAGCAGCCCCCTGCCCTGGTCTGCTGCACCCTCCGCCAACATGGCTGGGGCTGGTCTCCATGTGAGCTGTGGCTCAGGTCTCCATGGAGACTGGCCCCAGACATGCAGGCAAGGGCTGCTGGGAAATGGAGTCTGGCTGCTGGAAAGATTGGCCATTTTTGGTCATTTAGAACAGGGGTGATTGGCCCACCCCTCCTCTAAATGTTACTTTCAGCTGTGGATATTTTCATGTATAATGTATTAAGCAAGCTTGGGGTTGAAAGGGCAAGATTTTATGGTGTGAGGAGAGGTGACCTCTTGGAAAAAACAAACAAAAACTTTACTTTTCTGGGTGTAGACTTTGAGAGGGTTTTTTTTCCAGTCCATAAAATTAGACCCAAAACCCTTAAATGATCCCATTCCCATTCTAAATGCCCATTAAGACATCACTTGACTAAAAAATGGGGAAAAAAAAGGCAGACATCACTTGAAATATTCAGGTTGGTTGGTCCCAGATGAAGAAAGAATTTCAGTTAGGGATGAGAGGGAGTGGAGTTATGATGTTTAAATCTTCAAAAAGTCATGGCAGTGTCTGCATTGTTAAGTATCCAAGCTAATACCTACACAGACAACTTTCTTTGTAGAAAGGTTTCAATGCAGGTTTCTGGACCAGAACTCCCCTCTATTCCAGATATTTCCTGCTGGATTAGACTGTGCAAACTGCTGGAATCTGGTAGAATACATGCAGATTATCAGTATTGCTCTATCATAAGAAAAGTCTTACCTGGCATAAAGCAACATAATCAACCTCTCTGCCAACTGTTTTACCTCTTTCCTTGCCATATGTAGAACAGAAGGGGTCATGACAACACAGCATACTTTCATGCTGTTAATTCTCAAATGAGTTATTGCCCTGTAGGGAATGCAGCCAACTGGCATGAGTTAGAGTAGTCCCTAAGTTCTTCCATGCCAAAGGGATTTCAGCATGGGAGAAAACCTGGGCTTCTGAATTGAAGTCATTATGCTTATACATGATTTTTAAAATCTCTGTTGCAGTTGTCATTCCTTCTGTGAAGCTTCTATCGCCAGAACATGTTTTTACCCCTCTGTGAAACAAAAGGGATGTCAAAATACAACTTGGGTCAAAGTTACAAATTTAAATTGAGGAAGTCAGCAGAAGTATTATGGGTCTAATAAATGTTGTTATTATGACGTTGTATACATGGCACATATCAATTTAAGAGCAGAAAATACAAGGGTCTGCATACCTATGGATTTGTAAAATGTAAGATATATAGATGAGTAATATGGGTCAGTAAATGATATAAGAATGGAACTTTTTCTATTCCCTTACTTCTCGAACATTTAAATTCCTAAATGTTAATTAGGCAGGCAAGGTTCTTTGAGTAGATGCGATAAAAGATATCACATCTACTCAAAAAACTTCGCCTGCCTATGTCCTTAGGCTACAAGCAAAAACCCAGCTAAATGTTAATACACTTTTCTGTTTTAAAATCCAATCAATGGGCACCAGTAAGTGAGTTGTAGGATTAGAATCCAGAGCCCACACCTTCAGGGAGTATCATAGCTCCACTTCCACCGAGTTTCAGAAATTTGTCAAAACAAAGCACCTGGCTGGTCTTGAGATTTTTCCAGGTAAAGTAGTCTGTCAGGCTTCTGTTTATTTGAACAGGCAGAAACAAACCTCCATTTACATATATCCCAGGCTACAAGCAGCAGCACAGAAGTATTATTGCCAGCACAACCTTCCATTGTCCACCTAACCTACATTTAATATAACTGTACTACCCCCACAGGCAAAAAACACAGTCAGAAGTCAATGACCTAAGTATGAACATTAAGAAGCACTGATGTAGGCACCGGGTTAATGAGAAATAGTTTTTTATTGGAATGGTGTCGCTCAAACATGGAATCAGGACTCTACCCACAGCACCAAGTGCCAATTAAAAGCAGAGAGTATGTCTGCATGCTTCAACACTAATTTTCAATAGTTCTAGCAAACACACCAAGACTTGGATCTGAAAGTGAGAAACTAAGTCAAGGAAAAGATCAGGAAACTTATGGTAAAATCTTATAGAAACACATCTCTGATCAGAATGGGGCGTATAATTTGAATGGCATACCTACCTTACTGTTGTGTGTTTTATAAGTGCAAGCTGTTTTGAATGGGGTACAGTGTTTTGGGCAAACAGAACAGTATTATACTTTTGTACTACACACACAAAAATCAATTCTGCTTAATTTTGGAGTCCAAGCACTGCAGTGGCATGAGAACCTATCTTTTACTATAACCAATAACAGTCAAAACTTATGCATAATAGACTATTAGTCACTTGAGTGTTCTCAACAGGGAGCAATTTTCATCCACAATGCAGAAGACAGCACTGGCTAAGAAAAAGAGGATAGGCTTTTTCTAACTGCTGATTTGCTCTGACACCAGAGAGAGGCATCACCCAGCCTAACATAGCTGATGAGTGACAACACACAGGATATTTATCCATGCACAGCCCCTCCTTTATATAGCAAGTGAACACATAACCATCTTACAGCCTGCCATAGTTAATGGCCAAATGACTATACTGGGTACTCAGCCATACCCATGGTGCTTCTGTCTTTGCATAGGTGCAGTGATCATCAGTTTAATGGTTCCAACACGGATCAAGGCAGCTAGGGAAGGCAATCTTTAAAATGGTCCAGGAAAACTACCTAAGTTTGGGTGGTTTGACAATCTAACTCCAGCAGTTTGATGGAAATTTTCCGTAGGACATTGAACTCCTCTGAATATGTATACATTTGGAAGCAACCTCTACTGGTAAGAGCACAGAAGGGAAAGTCGCAAGTTCGAAGCTCTATTTATAGAGCTGCCATTCCCTCACTGTGCTAGAAAAGAAAAATAACTCGGATGCAAATCTTGAGAAGTAGCTAGGAATTTGGTTGTTCATTTTAGTAGCAAGAGTTCTGATCTTCAAAAAGTGCTGAGCACTCACAACTCTAAATAAAGCTAACAGGATTTACAAGTCATCAGTATATGGGAAAAGAAAAAGGGCCAAAATGTCTCAAATAGGGATGCTCGAAAACATGAGGCACCCAATTATTTCATCGCCTTCTCAAAAGCAACCTGTCTCTTGGCACCTTAGTTCTCTTATCTACAACATTACAGAAAATATTCATAAAGCTCACCAGGGTGCAGCAAGACTTTATTTGTTAATATTAAAACAATGACACAACTTGTTCTAACAGTTAAGGCCAGCTAGGAGTTTGCAGTTGGGAGATCTGTGTTCTATCTTCAGTTATGCCACTGACTTGCAACTCTTGGCTAAATCACTTCTCTCCTCTGCACTTGTTTCTGTTCGTACCTCTGCCTGTTCTGCCCATGTAGATGAGAACTTCAGGACAAAGACTGTAATGCACCCAGCAAAATGGAGCCTTGCTCTCTTCTGGGGTCTCTATGATACTATAACACAAACAACAATAATGATATTTATCCCTTCTTTATAAACTACTTTGTAATCATAAATGAAAAGCAGCATAGAATATCCAGATACATTCCAAGTGCTCTGCTTTCCTGAGTCAATGATGTAGAAGTGCAAAGTATGCTTATTCTTACACATAGGCCTGTAACCTGTCACATTTTACTAATATTATCGTAAGGAAAAAGAATCTCAATCTTTGTCTTGACTGTATGAATCAATTTGTATTGTATCAAGAGAAAACACCAAAAACCCTGCTTACTGAATCTTCTTTCCACATGGTAGGCAAACTTTAAGAGCTTTAATTCCATGTAAGCACTTTTACCTCATAAAAGACTGACCAGTCTCCTTTTATGAAAACGGTTAAATAAACCAACCAAAAACTATGATTTAGTGTCAGTTGTTATTATATATCATTTCTGAAAACAAAATGCTGTAATACATGCGTCACAGGAAGCTTCTGACTGTCACTAATCTCCAAGACAGCAACTTCTTTCTCTTCTCTGTTTCATCTGTTTGAAAGTAACTCTGAATCCACTATGGTTTTTTTGCTCCACAACAGCAGTAGAAAGTCCAAGGTTTTCCATCTGCCATAAACATATATCCAGTAATGCTCAAAGCAGTTGCCGTCATTCACTTTCAAAATCCCTCATGTTCTGGATAAATGGTCCTGAAGGTCAAGTTGATCCGTGCTTCCCTAGCATGATATTCCTTAGGCACCCGATGCTGGAAGTGACATTATGACCAAAAAAAGGGGTGGGGTTTCATAATTAAATAATAATTTAATATGCAAATACAACACATTTTTATACCCATTTTCTAAGAGGGAGATATTTTTCATATAGGAAAATGACCAACTCTTGACTGTTCTAGGCTCATTAAATATTTTTTCAGCATTTTTAGCAGTCTCCTCAGATGCACTAATGCTTGCGTATGAGATTAGCCAATTCCTGTAGGTCACTTAGAAATGCAATGAAATTTAGGTGATGAATTTTTCTGGGATGCCTTGATCATGGGATGGCAGGCACTATTAATGCATGGTAAAATATTACATTATTGCACAGCAAGCCTCTCCCAATACTTCTGCCTAAAATTCATGTCTCTGATGCTCTGTGGAAACCCAGCAAACTCTACCACAACCAAAGAAAGGCCTATTCATGTCATTCAGGTTTTCTTACCTGCCAGTCTTCCTGAGTTGCTCCCTCCATCATCAGTAAAGTGCCATGATCCAGTGGAATCCGTATTCTTTCCACATACGTATAATCTCCACTCTCTTCCTAAAAGACGGACAAAAGGGTGCACACATATATGAATGGGAAACACTGTGCTGGGGCTTCCGTGTCTAAGCTTAAAACACATTTCACCAGTAAAATGTCAGCAAGGCCTTGACTTTTGATCTGAAGAGGCTTCTGTACTGTGCAATGTTTCACAAAGGTTCATAGATTTGCTACATTTTAAGAACAGCAGGAACTATTGCGATTCCTCACTGTGACTTCCTGAAAAACACAGGCCACACAACAACCAGCTGTCTCTGCATCAAACCCAGAGCTCCTAGCTAAGCTACAGCCCCATTTTTAGAAAGATATCCAATCTTGTTTTATACACTCAACATCAAAGAATCCACCATGTGTCCAACAGTTAGTAAGACTCCTCCTGTTGCCTTAATTCTACTTTCAATTTGGCTAGTTTCAGCTTCCAGCCATTATACAATCCAGTAGGATTTGCGCTCTTTCCACATCAGCATGATCTCACTGGTAGCCTTCTGCTACTGGAAATCTTTTTCCATTGTTGGTACCTGCAGACCACAATCAAGTAACATTTAACCTTCTCTTTGGTAAATTTAAAAGGTGGAGCCTCTTTGGTCTCAAATTTGTAAGGTTGGTTTTTCAGATCACAAACCATTTATGGAAATTTTCCCTATGCCTTCAAATTCATCATATGCTTTAAAAAAAAAGCGGGGGGGGAGTGGAAATACTAGAACTGGATACAATATTCCAGAAGTGGTTTCATTAATGTCATACCCAATGGTAACAACACCTCTCTACTTCTACACAGCATTTTCCTGCTTCATAATATCCTACTTATCTGTCTAAAGAATCCATTTGTCCTAGTAACTAGTAGGGGGTACTGAGAATTCACCTTCACTTGGTTACCCACTCTGACCTTCAAAATTCATTTTGAGTGGCTGCTTTCCAAAACATAGTCCCTTATCCTGTAAGCATGACCTATGCTCTTGGTTCCTAGATATATGACATCATTAAAATACAAGTTGTTCAAGTAAGCCCAGTTTACCACTCCACCCATATGTAGAACTTTGTAGAGTTTTGTAGAACCAACCAAAGTGCCTACGTCATCTGTAACCTTATAACAGCCTTTTTATTTGTTTCCCCCCCCCAAATCATAGACAAGGATATTGAATAGCACAGAGCTAAGAACAAATCCCTGTTGAATCCTGGTAGGAATACCATCAGTACAGGAGGATCCCTCATTTACTATTCATTTTGAGATCTGCCAGTTAACGGTTTTTAACTCATGTAGTACGTGCTACACTGATTTTCTATACAGGGTTTATTATTTCTTCAATTAGGATATTAGACAGTACAAAGTCAAGTATCTTACTGGAGTCTATTATGCAAGACAGTTATTCTTATCAACCAAGGTAGTCTCATCATAAACTCATTATCAAGATTGACAATGCTTTTCCATAAAATCATGTAGACACTGACAGGTATTAATTCTGCTGTAATTCCTTAAGTAGCGTGAACTGACAAAAGACTTAAACAACTGGAGAGGCTGGAGGGGAGGGCGGATGGGGGAGAGGAGGGAGAAGTGGAGATGGTTAAAGACCTTATTGCAGTACAGCTGACCCTAGTATAACTTGTCTGTCTGGTCATAGTCTCTCACAAGTGAAGCTTGACTGTGATCATTTATGGTGTTTCATTCTAGGGTAAGTTATTGCTGGTTAGGAATGGGGACTGAGGAAACAGATACACCTGTTGAGGAAACAGATACAGATGATACCATTCAACACCAATTCACAGTGTTGAGTGGTAAACTCCAACCCTCAGCTTAAAATGGTGAAACAGTACATCTGCCCATGTCCTTTACTAACTGTGTCCTTTATCAGCCTTTCCATGATTTTACCTGGGTTCAGTGTTAGGCTAAACTGATGTAACGTTAACTAGGTTTTCCTGTGTACCCTTTTAAAATACTGGACCAACATTTAATTTCTTCCCTGTCTTCTGAGATCACATTATTTCAAGATTTTTCTTGTTAAAGAGCAGCATCAATAGCTATAAAAAGAAGCTCTTAATCAAATCTTCCAGAATCATGTGTATCTGGTCCTGCAGATCTGAAAATATTTAGCTTGAGCAGCTGCTGTTTAACATCCTAACTTATTGTTGGAACAGAAATGATTTTATTATTACTGTAAACTGTGAATATGAAATCCAGCTTCTTTCCAAACAAAGACCAGAAATATTTATTTGGGCTCTTTTGAAATGTTATTGCCAATTGGGCCATCCATGCCTGGTAAGGGCTCTCCACCCCGAATTGAGCTGCCGAGGGAGATGTCAAGTAGAAATTCAAGTACTGAATATCTGCAGTATTAAAAGAAATCCTGAACATTACTAATAAAGAGGATACACTTAGGTCAATGTTTATATCTAATCTTGAGAAACCTGAAAATGAAATCTTTTATAATTAAGTGTCTGCCTTGCAAAAATATGCACCATTTGTTAGCATACAGTCAAGTCCCAAGGATGGGTTAGGAGCATATGGGTTTGCCATTGGGTCTCTTTGGGATGCATGCAATGAATTGGTAACTGGAAGTCTTTCCAAAAGACAGCTTGTATGCACACCCATTTGTCATGTTAGGGTCATTTCTAAGGGCAGAGCTGCCGGCTTTTTGTCCCCAAGCAGATTGGGTAGAGCAGAATAGACTAAGCAAGAGAAGTCGCTGAATCAGTTATTCGTTCACAGAAACGATACAATATGTACAGTGATGGCAAACAGCTGAGGAAAGAAAATGTAGTTCAGGTTTTAAACTTCTAAACCTTGACAATGTCCCTGTAAAGCACAGCCACAGATCTTAAGACAGATTCTGAATGCATGCTTCAAATTGTTTTTCTCCCATCTCATTAATTTATTTGAAAAGAGAGACAGTGCCTCTTACCCCCCTTTTTATATAATGATTATAAGCACACCCCTAAAATCTCACTCATTGCAGTTGGCCTGGAGGGAACTGGGAGGAAGCGGTGCTAAAATATTCCAGGCCCAGCTCAGGAGATGGCAATTACTCCAGAGTGAACTGAACAAAGGCTGTTACTTGCAGAGCAGAATGTGTCATATAAGTGTGCATCAGGGAAA